CCGCCCTGTTGTGGCTGTCCCTCCTGCGGCTGAGCACCCAGGCCTCGGATCTGTCTTCCGGTGAGCAGGGCAGGCGACCAAGACCTAGGGGGGGGCCAAAGTTGCCTGCCCCTCTCGTGTGCCTCCACTTCCACCGGTCCCTGCTGTCTTCCAGGAGGACATTGGAGGCCCTGGGATGAAGGGACTGGGATGCCTGGCCTTTGGGCTGAGAGGAGGGCTGTGGGACCTGGAGAGTGAGCTCAAGGGCAGAGGGACAGGGCTGACTCTCCATCCTCCTGGATCATTCTTGCAGGGGCCTCCCCAGTTGCCACACCATCTTCATTTTTTTAAAAGAATTCTTTATTCAATGTTATTTATTATTTTTAATTTGACCACAAAGAGAGAAAGAGAAAGTGAGAAAGGCAGCCGCTTGGTCCATGACCAAACTGTGCCTGGCCATGTGGGAGTCCAGCACCTTTATCATCACTACCTGCCAGCCCCCACTTTCTTTACTTTAAGAACTGGGAAATACTACAGTCTTGGGAAAAGTACACGGGGACGGTGTGGGGTGGGGTTTGCTTTCCACCAGGCCTCCCTCTCTGAGACCTTGTGCTCAGGAAAGAGTGCCCCTTATGACAGTCCCAAGAGAGTCCAGTTTTCTGAGGCTTCAACAGGGCTATGCTTCTTCAGTGAAACAGGTCTGGGAAAACCCCATCCCCACGCCTTTGCCCCAACCTGGACCTCTGCCCTGGGCCATCTGCCCTGGGAGGGGGCACTGTGCTAATGTGCCCCCTCCCTGCCACTGGCTGCCTCACTTCACCTTGGGCATTGCAGATTTCACACCTGGGAAGTCCTGGCCCTAGGGATGCTAACATGGTGGTGAGGGGAGAAGACCCGAGGACTACAATCCTTGCAGGCACCTTATGGCTAGGGTTGTCTCCACAGAGTGTGGGAAGAGCACGGTCACTGGGAAGATCTTTGGTGGCAAGAAGGCAAATCCTGAGCGGTGGCCGTGGCAGGCCAGTCTGCTGTTAAATGGCAGGCATATCTGTGGAGCCACCCTCATCGACAGAAACTGGGTAGCCTCTGCGGCCCACTGCTTCCAAAGGTGCGTCAACTGGGCAGGATGGGGAGAGAAGCCCCAGGTAGCAGGATGCAGGCACCTACAGTGCAGGCAGGGGATGTGCAAACTGGAAAGTCATTGGCATTCCGTAAACGCGGACACATTCCGCTCTGTGGCTTCCTCCTTTGCTCTCTACACACTGGTGGCATGTGGTCACCCAGTGTGGGCCAGTCTTGCAAAAGATGTGAGTGAGAACTAGGGAGGAGGGTTTGGGTGTATTGACCTAGGAATGGAGTCCTTGAGGGTCACTCCAGGCCATGGGGCCTCCAAAGGCAGAGCCCCTTGCAGAATTGACCCAGAAGGTTCGAGGGCCAACTGGATAGGCCAGCAGGGGAGGGGACTCTCCCCCGCCCCCGTCCCCTCAGGCCTTGAGCCTTGCCAGAGCAAGCAGTGAGCCAGGCCTCCTCTCCTCTGAAATGGAGGGGTGTAGTTTGATACACCCCCAGGGATACTTGCCAGCGCTGAGGTTCTCTGCTCCTCCGTACTGGGGCATGCTGGGAAAGCCATCAGAAACCTTCATAGGAAAAAATGTCCTGAGGCTGTGGTCAGTGATAAGTCTGCTTCAGGAAATGGATACCCACTGTTAGGAAGGACAGAGAACCCCTGGAATGATAGACCGGAGGGTGGGCAGTCAGGGCAGGCTGTCGCCCAGCTCTCAGAGGAGCCCCTCCAACAGGTCCCATTCACCATCTGACTATCGGATCTTGCTTGGGTACAACCAGCTACACCATCCCACCAATTACAGCCGGCAGATGACAGTGAGAACGGTCATCGTTCACTCAGAGTATGACAAGCAGCACCGCATGGGCAGTGACATCACTCTGCTGCAACTGCATGTGTCCGTGGACTTTAACTCCCACATCAGCCCCGCCTGTGTCCCAGATTCCTCCACGGTGTTGAACACTAGCCGCACCTGCTGGATAAGTGGCTGGGGGATGATCACCGAAGACAGTGAGTGGCCCAGGGCAGGCAAAGGGGGACAGGGGGCTATTGTCATCCTGCTGGAGCACCTTGGTTCCTGGCTCAGGGCTCAAAGTCGGAGCATGTCAAATGGGAATGAGGAACTTGGGCCTTTCACTCAGCTGTTCAGGATGCCATGCGCTAAAAATCATCCATTCCTGACACCGAGGTCATGCTTGGGTCTGGCCTTCCCCAGGGCCTCACCAAACATCCTTGAGCTTCCATAGCCATGCAAGGTGCTAGACATCAGTGAGGAAAGGAGAGCAGGCCTGCTCTCTGGCCTGGGACAGGTGGGGTGCTTGTGGCTCAAGAACATTGACGTCTGGGGCCGGCAGGTGGTGTGGTGGTTAAGGTGCTGGACTCCCATATGGCCAGCCATAGTTCGAGTCCTGAACCTGGTGGCTTGCTTTCTCACTTTCCCTTTCTCTCTCTCTGGTCAAATGAGAAAATAATAATAAATAAATAATTCTTAAAAAAAAAAAAAAGAACATTGACATCAGTGAATCCCAGGTCAGATGAGCCCACCCTGCTAGCTTGTTGGGCTTAGGATACTTTTAGATTGAGAGAAGAGAAATTTGTGGCAAAGATTTTTGCACTAGAATAAATATTCTTGAGTTAAAAAAAATGTAATGATGAGTGAAGAAATGTAGACTATAGTGTTGGCATTGATTCATAGGGTTGTGATCAGGCAGTGTCTCTGTGGGGGCATAAGAGGCAGGAGTGAGTTCAGAGGCTGACTCTGCTTCTGGCCACTGAACATCAGCCAGGCTGCCCGGCCATCTGCACGGCCAGTCTCCAGCATGGCCAGACACACTCCTGGAGTGCACACTCACTCTGCGGGAACCACTAGCAGGGTAAGCAGGATTCTCCGACATGCAGCACTGCCAGGACCAGCTTGGTGTGATGAACACGTTTTTCTGAGTGGGGAAGGCTGTGGATTAGAAATAGACACAATAACAAACACACAAAGACACACAAGTATAGAAAAGCAAGGATCCGGTGGGCACAGCCTCTCTGATGGAGAAGCTGGGACCAGAGCCAGCCTCAGGTTTATTCTTTTAAAGGGCAGAAAATTAGGGGAAGGGGTAAATGGGATGCAAAGAGAATGGGGAAGAAGGAAATGGAATGCAAAGAGAATGGGGGAGGAGGAATCTGAATGCAAAGCCTGTTGTTTTTGGATGTAAATCATTTGAAGATGTGAAAATGACTGGCACCAGGTAATTTCTCTTATCTTTTTGAGGGTACAATCTGATAAACTCATGTAACTTCCTTTAGCCAATACTGGGCAGTATGGGGGTATTGGGTATCAACAACAACAGGAAGACAACCATTGACAGCAGACAGATACTGCTCTCTTACGTAGGTGCTTCTTCAATAGCCCTGCTAGAGTAGTTTACTGAACTGCGTTTCTGCATGTGTCTACAGGCCACATGTTTTCAGACTAGCTGCTTTCTACAGGTCAAGGTAGGAGATGGACTCCGAAAGGAACATAGGGGAGCAGCCCGTAGGGCAGAGACTCAGCCTTTGGTCTTCCTTCTCTCTCCATGCACTCCCCTGACCACAGTTGCTGGGGCTGGATGTACACACCAGCGACCCCCAAAGACACATAAGAGCTCCCACAGCAAGCACTACACGGGAGTGGGCTATCATCCTGACACTGTGACCCCACATGGGGACCCCAGAACAGACCTGGGAGCAACATCTGGAAGTAGAATCCAAGTGTCTGCACAATGAATGCTGCCTTCAGGGCCTGTCCAGTTGTCCTATGGCCTGCTACGTGTCCCCCAGAATGATGAGATTTTGTTGTGATGAGACTAAGAGGGTGAAAATGTAATCCGACTACGGTGTTGAAAGGTAAAATCTGGGAGAATAGGATTATTGTCATCAGGACGCAGTAGGTTTATATTTTATGTGACAGAGAATCTATGCACTCACTAGAGAGAGACAGAGAGGGGGAAGGAGAGGGCACCCCCACCATGGGCTATGGCCATTACCATAATCCGTTCTTTCATTTCTCCATCCTGACAGTATTTGGAACATACATGTATAAGAGCATAGTGTGCATACATGTATAAGAGCATAGTGCGTTTTTCAAGCCCCCAGAGCTGGGATTCAAACCACAGTTGGCCATGTGGGATCCAGCTCCCTTAACCACTAGGCCACAGGCCCTACCTGACTCTTGAGAGGCTTATAAGGAGAGGAGATGAGACCAGGACCTAGACGCATACACAGACACGTGAGTTCCCACCCTCGGTCGTGCTGTGATGCAGCCCGACTCTCACCAGATGTGGCCCCTGGACCTGAGACCTCCAAATTATGAGCTGAATAAACCTCCATTCCTATAAATGAACCAGTTCAGGTATTGTATTTTCTGTTATTAGCAACAGAACGGACTAGAACACTGCCCAACTCACTCGGCACTAGTAGGTGCACCAGGGCTCCCAGCTTGCACCCTATCTGCAGCCCTCTCTCCACAGAGAAGCCAGAGGGTTGTTCTGAAACACAAGCGGACCCTCTGGTTGTTTCCCAGTGCGTTCAGCATGGACCCCGGTTGCATGCACTGGTGGAGGCCCAGCCTGCTCTGAGGTCTGCTCTGACTGTGCCTCATCTTTTTCACCCCACCCCCATTCCTGCCTCCTTGCAGCTGCCCTGACCTCCTCCTGAAACTTCTCCCTGCAGGCTCTTCACCTTTGCTGTCTTTTTTTTTTTTCCTTTTTTTTGGAGAGGTTTTCACTATAGGGTACATGTGCACATGTGCTCACCAGAAAGAGAGAGACAGACAGAAAGTGAGAAATCACCCCCTGGGGGGATGGTCACACTGCAATCTCTTCTCCTCCATTCTCCTCTCGGGATCTTGGGCACGCACGCACACGCGCCCGGCGTGAGTTTAAGCCACCGGGTCCAGGACTTGAACCACATTTGACTACATGGGAGTCCAGTGACAGCCATGACACTAACTGCTAGTCGCACCTTTGCTGTCTTAAGCACCTCTTCCTCTCTTCTCTGCATGGCCTCTGAGAGCCCGTCCTTGCCCTGCTGGCTAGGGCACATGACCTCTGTCACAGGAAGGCTGGGAGGAGCAGTTCCTTCTCTGAACCCCACATCTGATCCCTCCTCCTGCAGCGTTTCTGCCTAGACCCTTCCAGTTGCAGGAGGGAGAAGTCGGTATCATAGAAAACAGGTTCTGTGCAAACTTTTTCCAACCTGAAAACCCCAGCAAGCCCAGCAACAGAGATTACGGCATATATGACGATATGTTGTGCGCCGGGAACCTCATGGAAGAGACATCCATCTGCCGAGTAAGTGAGTCTGTGCCTGCCTCCTCCTTTGCTCTCTGGGTCCTCTTCCTCTGATCACCTGGGAACCTGCCCGCCCCGACTTCCTCTCCTGCGCCCCCTCTAGCCTATAGCGTTAGGAAAGATAGAAGCCCCTAGAAAGCACCACTCAGGCCAGCCTGTGTCCTGGTGGTTAAGGCGACTAGAAGGTCCCACGTGGCTGACTGCACAGTTTGGGTCCCAGGCCTGGTGGCTTGAGAAACGTGCTGGGGGCATGTGCATGTGTGTCTAAAATCATGAAAGGAGGAAGAAATGGAGAAGGAATTGCAGCATGACTATCTCCATGGAAGGTGCTTTCTCTCTCTCCTCCTCTCTATTCTGTCTCTATTTCTCTTTTTTTTTTTTTTTGGAGAGATTTTCACTGTAGGGCACGTGCGCTCGCCAGACAGACAGAGAGAGACATAGAGACAGAAAGCGAGAAATCACCCCCCAGGGGGGATGGTCACGCCGCAATCCCTTCTCCTCCATTCTCCTCTCGGGATCTTGGGCACGCACGCACACGTGCCCGGCGTGAGTTTTAAGCCACCGGGTCCGAGACATGAACCACGGTCGACTACGTGGGAGTCCAGCGACATAGCCATTACGCTAACTGCTGGTTCCCTCTATTTCTCTTCAGCAGGCACACATACTGTTTGGAAATGTGTGTTTGTTTTGTTTTGTTTTGTTTTGTTTTTAAAGAGCACCATTCCATCCCATTCATATTCTTTATATCTTTTAAATAACTTTGATGAAACATAACATACACAGGAAAGGACATAATTTACAGATGTGCTGCCTGGTTTTAGAATTTGATCTACACATGTAACCAGCATCTGTGCATTGCTGTCATGCCCCTTCCTGTCAGAAACTCCCCAGAACATCCCCACCCTGCCTTCATGCTGGGACTTTGTCTGAAGAAGTCAGACAAAATCCGGGAGGGCTTCTTTCGTCATTACTGTTTCTGAAATTGACCTGCCTGACATATAGTGTGCCTTGCTTATTCTTCCCGACGCACGGGGTCCCACTGTGTGAATACACTACAGTCCTGCTTATTAGTTCTATGTTGGTAGCACTTGGGCATCAGTGGGAGCCATCACTGAGAGCACTGCTGTGAACATCCTGGTTTGTGTGTGTTAGTGCATACTTGTTCACATTTGGTTGGCGGTCTCATTGACCGCCATGCAATGAGATAAGCACATGTTCATCTCTTATACTCTGAGCACCCTCAGACCTGATTGTGCCAATTTGCACTCCCACCACTCATGAATGAGGGTTCAGGTTGCTCCTTGTTGCCAACAGTACTTCAGATGATCTATTTTTGCTGTAATTGTTGTGTGTGATTTTTAATTTGTGTTTCTGGTGACTAAGAAAAATGAGAACTTCTTCATAGGTTATTACATCTTTTGTAAAATGTCTATGTACTTCTTTTGCCAACTGCAGGTTTATCTGTCTTTCACATTGAATCACAAGAACTCTTTACATGTTGTGGATATAGGCATTATAAATGTTTTATCCCACTCTGTGAGAGGAGATCTTCTCATTTCATGATGGGTAAAATGAAGCCCCTAGAGGAAATGGAGAGGCCCAGGGCAAGGAAGCAAGGCCATAGTTAAGCTTGGCGTGGTCCTGCTGTACTTAGAAGCTGTACCCCACAGGCAGCCTCTCTCATAGCTTTCCTCTTGTGCCCCTGCCCAAGAGGGCAAAGAAATAAGGTACCCTGAGAGGAAGGGCTGTGGATTGAGAAAGGACCAACAGACAAAAGCAGGGGTCAGGCAGACCCGGCTTTCCCTGAGCTGTTCTCTGCTCATTCTTTTATAGGGGAGGCAAAGCCCCGTGCTTCAGCTGCGGCGCACCTCGTGGTTCTACACAAGCCTCTCCTCTTTTGTTTTGTTTTGTTTTGTTTTTAAAGAGCACCATTCCATCCCATTCATATTCTTTATATCTTTTAAATAACTTTGATGAAACATAACATACACAGGAAAGGACATAATTTACAGATGTGCTGCCTGGTTTTAGAATTTGATCTACACATGTAACCAGCATCTGTGCATTGCTGTCATGCCCCTTCCTGTCAGAAACTCCCCAGAACATCCCCACCCTGCCTTCATGCTGGGACTTTGTCTGAAGAAGTCAGACAAAATCCGGGAGGGCTTCTTTCGTCATTACTGTTTCTGAAATTGACCTGCCTGACATATAGTGTGCCTTGCTTATTCTTCCCGACGCACGGGGTCCCACTGTGTGAATACACTACAGTCCTGCTTATTAGTTCTATGTTGGTAGCACTTGGGCATCAGTGGGAGCCATCACTGAGAGCACTGCTGTGAACATCCTGGTTTGTGTGTGTTAGTGCATACTTGTTCACATTTGGTTGGCGGTCTCATTGACCGCCATGCAATGAGATAAGCACATGTTCATCTCTTATACTCTGAGCACCCTCAGACCTGATTGTGCCAATTTGCACTCCCACCACTCATGAATGAGGGTTCAGGTTGCTCCTTGTTGCCAACAGTACTTCAGATGATCTATTTTTGCTGTAATTGTTGTGTGTGATTTTTAATTTGTGTTTCTGGTGACTAAGAAAAATGAGAACTTCTTCATAGGTTATTACATCTTTTGTAAAATGTCTATGTACTTCTTTTGCCAACTGCAGGTTTATCTGTCTTTCACATTGAATCACAAGAACTCTTTACACATTGTGGATATAGGCATTATAAATGTTTTATCCCACTCTGTGAGAGGAGATCTTCTCATTTCATGATGGGTAAAATGAAGCCCCTAGAGGAAATGGAGAGGCCCAGGGCAAGGAAGCAAGGCCATAGTTAAGCTTGGCGTGGTCCTGCTGTACTTAGAAGCTGTACCCCACAGGCAGCCTCTCTCATAGCTTTCCTCTTGTGCCCCTGCCCAAGAGGGCAAAGAAATAAGGTACCCTGAGAGGAAGGGCTGTGGATTGAGAAAGGACCAACAGACAAAAGCAGGGGTCAGGCAGACCCGGCTTTCCCTGAGCTGTTCTCTGCTCATTCTTTTATAGGGGAGGCAAAGCCCCGTGCTTCAGCTGCGGCGCACCTCGTGGTTCTACACAAGCCTCTCCTGGCCACCTCTGGCTGACGCTCAGTTTCTTCTAGTAAGCCCAGCTGTAGATGATGTGTTTGTTTAGAGATTTCGCATGCCCTCAGCGAGAGCCCCAAGACTTTAGGCACTTCCTAAACTCTTGCACTTTCTCTTCGGCCATACTCCCACAGCTCAGAAACGTAGTGCCATGACTCTTCTTGTAAAACACTCTCAGACATGCTCCCTGACCCCCATGCCTCTTGCCATTCTCAGCAGGACTCAGCCCAGGGCGGCCTGCATGTGCCCTGTCTGTGTCCTCTTTTACCTTCTGCTTCAGCCCACTCTATCAGGCTTTTGTGCTGCATCCTCCATTGGAGGCTGTGGCCACCTCTCCCTCCCCCCTGTCTCCCACTTTGCTCCTCTTCCCTAACCC